GGGGGGGGGGGGGGGGGGGGGGGGGGGGGGGGGGGGGGGGGGGGGTGTAGGCCGCCTGACAGACTGTCAGGGACGTGCATTCACACACAGGCTTGTTAATTGTTGTTGCTCTAAAATAGTCATTTCAATTCAACCTTTATTTACAGGTTGTTGGTCTCACTGAGCCTCGTCATTTACAAGAGACCTGTTTTTAATCAATTGAGAGACGGGGGGGGGGGGGATTTATCAATCATGACATTTTAGAGGGAAACAAGACTGCAAACATATTTGTTAGAATAAAATGTGTGTGCAAGACGATGCTCAATGTGATCCATGTGAAGAGTTTTCTCATGTTACACATGTAAAAGTAGAGGAGGAACAAGAGGCTCAGTCTAGATGTACATGCAGCAGGAGCATGATCCACCTGGTCCTCATGTTCACATCTGCTCCAGTTTACCTCAGATCATCTGCATGAATTCTTCATTTCTCTACAACATTTTCATTCAACCTTTATTTAAACAAGTTCGTCCCATTGAGCCACGAGGACTCATTTACAAGAGAGACTGAATATAATTGTTGTATTTGTCATTTTTTTATGGCACCAAGTATCTGATAACTGAGTTGATTGTAGCCTGACAACTATTGTAAAACTGTAATTCATTGATTAAAATGTTCATTTAAATGAAACTGTTTCTAGTTAAAATCACAACAGGTGACAAAATCAGTGTTAACTGTGCAAAAATAAATTGCAAAACAATTTATTATAAAATTTGTAAAACAAGCTTTAATAAAATACTTTTACTGCCATTTATACGGTTTATTAATGACATCATCTCAAGTCAGCAGGAGCATCATCACCTTCATCATCATCACAAAGTGAGAGCTGTAAATTTAATCTGCACAAATATTTTCAATCAGGGCTCAAAATGTTGAACTGTCAAAGAAATGTGCAAGAAAATAAACTGATGTCACTCTACAGACACATTTAGAGAGAGGACAGTTCACAGAGACACAGTGAGGACGTGTGAGACTGAGAGACAGTGAGGACAAGTGAGACAGAGACACAGTGAGGACGAGTGAGACAGAGACACAGTGAGGACGTGTGAGACTGAAGGAGGTTCAACCAGTTGTTCATGGACCAGAACCAGATGAGAAGAACCACAGAACTTCCACTGACCAGTGATCTGACCAGTGACCTGACCAGTGATCTGACCAGTGA